AACCAACGATTGGTTGGATCCTCACATCGCCCTCATCTTAAAGTTCCCGGACGGCGCAGACAACGAGGATAACGGTTCCGGTGTGCGCTTTCATTGTGAGTATCCCATCATTGCCATTCGATGTACACTGCAACTAATTTGTTGGGCTGTCTAGACACAAAGAATGGGAGCACATACGATCCTTTTCCGACTCTCGATATTGGGATTCGATTTCACCGTCAGAAGTGGACTCAGAAGTTCGAGGAGGCGTCTCCTGAACTGCTCAGTAGATTCCCTTCGCTGCAAGAGGGTCCTGGCACGACGATCATCACCTTCTCATGCGACGTGGATGACAAAGACAGAGTCTCGATCGAAGGCTTGGGTATGGCCTACATCAACAAGTCGGAGCCCGAGCTTGAGAAGTTTGTGAACGAGAACGGTTCTCTTCATGGAGTCACGCTATCCGACTTCATTCGCCGCAAAACCTTTCATGTTTTCATGATCAAAAAGGGTAGACCGATCGACATCCACAAGAACATCAGCTTCGAGAAACTGCCGCCACCCTTCGACTACCCTTACGGCGATGCTCACAACTTCGATCCCGAACGCGGGGCAGATTTTCTTGCCAAAAACCCACGCAAGACTGCATACCACCCCGTCCACAGGTACAGCCACAAATAGAACCGAGTGCCTTCACACAGTACTAACATTATCATAAGTTTCAACGACGCCAACTCCATGTTGACCGTCACAACGCAGTCGCTGCTGCAGAACGACTTGTATGTGTGGCAGCAAGCTCAACTCATCGCTGCCGTCAAACTGCGCGCCTACTTCGTCCCGAATCCTGAACGCAAGAATAACTACTTCGTTATTCTTCCTCTTCCTAAAGAGTTCGTGGATCAGTTCGAGCCTGCATGGGTGAAGCTCTTGGACCAACAAGTTTCTCTGATCATGTGGGAGAACGAGGATGACGAGAAGCCCTCTGGTTCTTGGTAAGTCAACGAAGGGAATCTATCTCACTCTCGTATACTGACTATGTGTAGGCGATGTCGCTTCAAGCCGTACACGAGCGGCACCCAGGCCCTCGAGCCTCACCCTCGTGGCAAGTCCGAGGCCGTGCTTGCCGTGGTGCGCCCGCCCCCTCAAGATCCCGGCAGTCAATGCAGCATTGTGAGCTTCGAAAGTCGAGCAGATGCCAATGCGGCTGGGATGGCGCACTAGAGCTGCGTAGCCCTCCACTTTTTTGGCATCTTGGACGACACCGAGCGCAAGATCATTGCCGTCGACAAGTGGAACGAGCCGGATTCCGAAAGTGGTCATCTCGCTCAACTCACAATGCGTGGGCAAGGCTATGCGGAGTGGATGATGCAGTCTAGCCCTGCAGCTGAAGGCGAAGGCGTGGCCGGTCTCACTAAGGCCGTGACGTCCGCCACAATTATTGGAAGCCCGCCTTCTCTCCGTCATCTACCCAAGGTGTCATTCTTGCCTGGCAAGGATGTCCGCTACGAGGAGGCTCTAACGAGCATAAGCCTGGAGGAAGATCGGGAACGGTGGCCTGCGTTTTGCCGCCAGGTTCTACTGGGAATCGCCATCGTCACAGCAGTAAGTCATTCTTCCCTGTTTTGTGCAAAAGAAGAGAAGACTAACAGTTTCATAGGGCCCGGGTTATGGCAAGACCACTGAAATGGCGAAGACCGCACTCGCCATGGAGTATAGTCTCGGTCGTGTTTTCTGTACGGCGCCAGCTCACGTGGCTGTTACCAACTTTGCGGTCCGCACCGACAAGATAACCCGTGAAGTTTGCCTGCGATACAACGACAATCTTCCCGAGGGTACGCCGCGAGCTCGCCATCGAATGGTATTACGTGGATACAAGCGAGCCCACGAGCTTGCCGCGTTCGAAGCTCTGCTGGAAGACCCTCGTCTTGGAGACATGGCTGCCCCTCAACTGTCGTATGGCCAGGCACCCTGGCGCCTTGAGTTATCCGTGGCCTTTTGGCTCTTGGTGCTTTTGCGTTCCCCTGCTGTCCGAGACCTCCACAAAGACGATAAGGAGGCGCTGCACCAGCTTCAACGCCAGGTCGATACCAGACGGGACTGGGCTAAACTTCGAGCTGTAGCCACTGGCCAGATCACGTGGGACGAGTATACCGAAACGGCTCCACCCCATCAGAAGACCTTGTCCACTGCCATGGATCAGCTTGTCGCCATGGCAGACATCCTGGCTACTACGCCTTCTGCGTGCGTATCTGTCACAGAGGTGTACAATCGTTGGTGGATGCAGGCGAAGGCTGTCGCTATCGACGAGGCGGCAAACATGGACCGCGGCGACCTGGCGAGTGCTTGGGGCAACAAGATGCTGCCATTGTTGTGTGGCGGGGACACCGAGCAACTTCCACCCACTGTGTTGACCGATGAGTACTGCATCGACGCAGCCGGTCACGTGTTCAACCAATTCTCGAACGACGGCCTCATATCAGCCCAGGGCTTCTTGATGGCATCGGGGCACCTGGCTTACCGTTTGCGCCTGCAACTCCGAACCGCCAATGGTCTGTTCGACATCGTCGGTAAAATCATCTATCCGGACATCCCGGTGAGATACGGAGACAGCTGCTGCATCGACCTGCCGAAGTTCAAGAATGGCCATCTTCTGGAGAGCTTCTTCAGGGAACGTTTCCCGGAATTGGTCGCACCCAAGGAGGGCAAGTTCGCGCCAATCTTCGTGCACTGCCCCGATACAATCGTGAGAACCGATCACGTCAACGGGAATAAACGGTGCAACGACCAGGTTCACGCTGCCCTCAACATGGCATCCCGACTTGTCAAGGAGAAGTCCGTTGACGCCTCGAAGGTGGTGATTCTGTCACCATACAAGGCGAATGTGGAACTCTTGAACAAATGGACGCAGAAACACTACCCTGAGCTCGCCACGATGAGTCCCGCATCGACCATTGATGGTTATCAGGGGCAGGAAAACGACATTGTCTTTGTCGTAATGGGCACCAAGGCCCGTAACCCTGGTCCCGGGTTCACGACGAAACGCGCCCGGCTCAACGTCCTCCTTACGAGGCAGCGGTGCGGTCTCGTCGTCTTTGGCGACATCAACGTCGTCGGAGAGATGAACCCGAAGGACTTCGGCACCATGCCGCAGCTGGACCTCCCAGCTGCGTCGAACTTCTCGTTGGCGAAGCCCCCGCAGTTCGTCGTGGGCGGCAAAGCCCGTGCTGACGGGAGCGCCGTGGGGATCGTCAAGAAAATGGCACCCGCACAATACCGGATCTGGCTTTTGTTGTGGCAGAGTGGCAGGGTAGTGACCATGTCGGTCAAAAACCTCGGCAATCTCGATGGTAGCCCTGAGACGGGAGTAGAGAGGGAGGAAAATGGGGCCAAGAGGAAAGCCGAGGAGGAAACTAAGAAGGAAGCCAAGAAGCCTAAGATCAAGGAGCCCGAAAAGAAAAGCGATAGCTAGAGTTCTTTCTATTTTGCAATGAAAACCTCTTCATAACGTACAATTCTACATAAATATAATATACCTATGATCCAAAAGGTGACACGCTCAACAATGAGCGTGCCCTAAGGTAAGCCACGCGCCCGTGCAATCAAGAAAGAATCACCTACCTAGAGGTACCTATCATGCACTGATTGGCAACTTACATAAGCTACTACTGTCGCATTCAACAGTCTGGGAAGCTGGCATCACAATCCAAGACAAGGTGGCATCCTTATGTAAGCATGTTTTAGACCCTTTCCTTTGCACCGAGCACTATCAGCAGTAAGATGAATCAACCATCTATCATTCAACCTGTCGAACCGTAACATGAGCTGAAAATTTGCGGAAGGAGATTCCGATCGCAATTGGCGGTTCCATTCGAGAAGGTTTGTAAGCGACTCTCGTCAACGGGCACGGGTATTGCGCGGCGTCCGCGACCGAGTTCGTGGTGGTAGCAATGCTCTCCTCGTCCACCATTAAAGTAAAAGAGTTGGCCACCTCAAGTAGCCAGAAAGTATCTCCCGGTAGCAGAGCTCATAAAACAACTGATATTCTCTCATTCAAACCTTGCAGATTGAAGTGACTTGCGGGTTGGGAACCCAATCCACCACGACTCAAGGGCACTACGGTGCTTACGTCGCCGAGAGACGTGTAAAGGTAAGGATGCCGTCGAGACTAGCAGGGGGTTGGATCGCGGCCCGGCCGATTAATCAAGAGTGCGAACAATCGACCGGCGGAAGGTGCCGAAAAGTCGTGTGAATGGAAGCAAAGCAGGGATAGAAGCGGCGTCCATGGCCGCAGGGTAATACTTGACCGAGATGAGAAACGATGTCTGCTTCTCGCCAAAGGTAATTAAGGCAAGCACAGAGTCGGAAGAAGGTGAGCTGCGGGGCTGGGTGAGGTGACGGCGGGCCGACGCTAGCGCTCAGGGTAGTCTTCTCAGAGCACCAAGCTTTTTGCTCATGCTGGCAGTAGGCACGACGTACCTTACCCTGCTGGCTACCTAATGTGGGAACAATCAAGACCTCTGATTCGTGCCGTGTCCCGCTAGTCAAAATAAGGTATTGTGGGACCATTTCGGAGAAAGTCCACTCGACCACTTCACCTTACCCAGCTGGACTTCGCCTCGAGTCTTTCTTTTTCTCTTGATCTCTCCAAAGCACACCGGTTACCGAAATTTTCGATCGCTTCCTCGTCGTCAAGTTCGGGTCTAAGGGTGTCTACACAATTGTGAATCTAACAGTCTACATATATCGGATTCCTTTGTTTTTGCCAAACCGGACTCAGAGGATTTAGACGTCAGTCCTAGACTACGACTAAGCCCTGGCAATAGTTTTCTCTGAGAAACGAGGTGAACTCAAAGGGGTTCGTATCGGTACGACCAAGGCGGGGATCTGGTTAGGATAGTAGGTGGTGAAGTCGGAGGGGCACAGCGAGAAATACAGAGAAGTATTTGGTCTTGCGCCATCAGTAAGTCCCCCCTTCGTGGAATGCGTGGGCACATTTCTGACAATTTAGCTGCGAAGGAAACATGGCGAATGAGGACAGAGAGACCGAGAAATGGAAAGCCAAGTTTACGCCATTGTTGCACGCATACTTGAGCCGAAAAAATCCCAGGACGCGACCTACCATCGAACAACTTGACAAACTCGAGTCGTTCCTGACGTCCGAAACAGAGCATGTTCAGCACACTCATTACCTCGGAGATCTGGAACAGAAGCTACCTCTCATCAAAAAGATTTACGAGTCATTGCCGCAACCCAATCATCACAAGAATCTCGATACAGCTCGTTTTTGGAGCGGCCTTTGGGCTCTAGAGGTTCACTCTTTAAAGGACATTGAAGCAAGGTTTGAAGCAATCCGGTCCGAGAAGCGCAAGGTGCGAAAGCTTCAAGAGTACCTTAAAGCTCTTGACGATGCAGCAGCCAAATATCCAAAATTGCTCAGAATGTGTATGATCTTCTCACTCCAATTTGATCCACAAAAACTGATTAGATTCTCAGTCACGAAAGGGTACGACCAGGAGAAGGATTCCGGCGGGGCACAGCTTGGTGAAGGGACGCCGGGCGACACTGCATCAACTGCGACAAGAAAACGCCCAGCTTCAACGTCTGAACCGTCGGCGACGCCGCAGAAAATACCCAAGAAGACGGCCAAGGAGACGCCCCAGAAGACGCGCAACAAAGCAAAATCTGCCGAAGTGAGTATTGAATGTGACACAGGACTAGGTGCGAGCCATCACTGACTTTATTTCATTGCAGGCACTCAAGCGCGACAACGAACGATGTATTGTCACAAATATGGAAACACCTCAAGTCTGCCATATCATTCCCTTTGGTTTGTTGAACTGCGAAGAAGCGTTGTGGCCCTTGCTTGATGCAATGCAAGCCTGGTTTGGCAAGGAAGCAGTGATCAAAGCTCAGAGAATCCTGTGCGAAGAAGACGACGATAACATCATTGATGAGCCGGCCAACATGGTCTGCCTAAACCCCCACCTGCATAAGTGGTGGGCAGACGGCAGGTTCATGCTTAAGCCAAGAGGACCACCACACAAGGAGCCTGTGGGAGACGACGGCGTTGCGACGGACCTCAAGACTGCCAATCAGTCGAATCCTCGTCACTCTATGAACACACGTCGCGCAGAAAAACAGCCGGCCGAGAGATTCCGATGGTGTCAGGAAATGACTTTTCATTGGCTTCGAAAGACAGGTTTCCACATGACGGATCGTGCCGACTTCAACTGCAATCCCCGTGACGCGTTCCAGCCCATAGATCACAAGACACTTGGGGCAACGAGATTAGAGCCTTGGGAACTTGTGGTCGACGGACAGCTTATCAAGGTCTACGCCGATCGCGAAGCCGACCTGCCCAGCTACGATCTGTTGCAACTGCAGGCCAACCTTCTCACGGCATTCTCGCTCACAGCTGCCGCAGACCCGAAGCTTTACGAGTCTGACGACGAGGATATGGATGCGTTTTCTTATTAGAAGCAAAAGAAACGCTTACTAAAAGAATAATATTATAAACAATTAAAAGAGGTCCCCTGCGCCATTCATAGTCTACGAATTATACATAGTAGAATACTTTATAGGAAAAGTAGTAAAAAGACAGAGGTAAAAAGTATAAGGACACTAAGCGCAGAGATACTAAGGGCAGAGTTGCCAAGGACAAAGATGCTAAGGATAGATTTGATAAGAATAGAGATGTTAAGGACAGTAGATATAGTAATCAATGCTATGTATATTATCGTAAGAGGCAATACCTTAGATAACTTAGCCCCAACCCCTTCCACTTTGAGCTAGCTAGCTATATAGGCTTGACTCACTTATACTATATGCGATTATATATACCTATTTACTCCTCGATAACGATAATCTTTCGCTCAATATAGTTTAAGATCTTAAAAAAGTGAAGGGCTATATAGTTTATTGTATTATCTAAGCTATAGTACTATTTATTTAATTTTTATAATTTATAATAATTTAGTAATTTTCGGATTTATAATTATATAAGTATAATAAAAAAAAGTATGATATTCGATTTATTAAGAAATCAAAGTTCGAAAATTCAAGTATAGCTTATAAAAGCTTAAAACTATTTGATTTATATATAATAAATATATAAAATATTAATATTCTAAATTAGTTTATCAAATTATGAAGGCTTTTTTATAAATATATATATATTTTATATATTTAATAAAATCTATTATTTTAGAAGCTTTTTTTTATATAGGCCCGGACTAATTTATTAACTCCTTAAGAAGAGGAAAAGAAACAAAGTAGTTAATCTTGCGTTCAAGATTAGGAACGAAGTAGGCACGTAACTTGACAGTAGCGATAAGTTAAGCTTGCTGCCACATGTATCCCATTGAGCACGAGTTAACGTCGGTACACCATTCATCAGAGTAATAAGTAGCTAGCAGTAAGATGATACAGCCCTATTCCCGCCATTCCCATCACACGAATTCAAGAAGGACGTTAAATAAGAGAAAATATGGGGGCATGTATCCGACGTTATTGTGCGCTTAATGGGACAGTTGTCCTAGAGCAGCGACTGCGTTGGAACGGTCAACATCCACTTGGCATCATGGAAATTGTTGATAATGTTATCCCCCTCTGCAAGATGTCTCCTTGCTGCCCCACGTTTCTATAGTGGCTCCATAAAGGAGATGATACAGCTTTGAGATCAATGAACTGAGGCTCATAGCTCGGCGCAGCATTGGTAGTATCCGACAAGCTATCAAGAGCGGTGCAAGTACTGCCAGGAAAGGCCACCCATGATGCGGCAACTTGAGGCAAAAGAATTCCACCAGGAACTGCTTACGGCGGACTAGGCGTAAGGCATCCGAAGATCGTCCTCAGCGATTGCAGTCTCCGCAGTCCTCTAATTCTAGCTGATCGCTTAATGAGTTGAACACAACGGTTGGATTGCCGATCCCCACGAATGCGGAGCAGACTTCAGTAAAGGCATTTTCCCTGGTATTCATGCTTCAGCCTGCCATAACAATTAATGAACAAGATCCAGTCTCCTCTCCAGCTTACTCGGCAGCCAACTTGATGTTGTACTCGAGCTCCTTGGCAGCCTTGGGGTCCCCTTTTCTCTCAACAAACTTCACAGTCAGACCATCCTTCACCGCAAACACAGAGTCGTCATCCAAGTACTTTGAGTCCTCGTCAAAGATTTGTGTTGTTACCGACTTGAAGCCTTCTGATTTGACCTGGAGAGTTGTTAGTGCCTGCGTTGGGATATGCGCATTCGAGTGGATTACTTACAATGAGATGAATGTGAGCAGGTCTGAAGTGGTGGCGGTGGAGCAGGTCCAAAAGCTTTCCAGCGGGGCCATCACCCGGTACCTGAGAGATGTCGTCAATACCCAAGAGCAACTTCATCAACGCATCCCGGGAAAACTCACTGGGTAAGGCGTGGGCCGCAGGCAGTAAAATCCATAACGTCCCTCCGCATTCGTCTTGAAGACTCCACGCAGGTTGTGCTCGGGCTGATCGGCATCTTGCTGCTCGTACAGACCTGTGGTGCAACATTAGACGACATGTGCACCAACAGAAAAGCTTAGCCTGATCTTTGAGACTTACCGTTTGTGGATGCTTGCCAGACATCGACTGAGGCATTTGCCAGCGGCTTTCCGGTGTTAGAGCACGTCACTTGGCCGTACATGAAAGCGAGCTCGCCGTCCTCGGGGCACTTGACGGCGATTGTGCTGCCGTTGGGGCGGACAGGGGTGTCGGCCCGCCAGAAGGGGCCGAGAATGGCTGTTGCTGTGCCGGGTTGGCCGTTCTTTGTGGCCACTCTGTTGGTAATATCGTCGACGAGCCTGACAGTCTCATTAGCCTCACTGCAATTTGCATCGTTCATCATGAAACTCACGATTCGAGTCCGAGAACATCGCAAAGCAGCTGGCCCTCGTTGCGTCGGTCATTTGACATTTGGCCCGCCCAGTTAATCATGTTGACACCCATCATCCACTCATCTGTCGTAAGATCGACCTCGCGAGCAAAGTCGTGGATGTGCTGGATGAATGAAGTGAGAATCTCACGGAGTCTGGGGTTCGTCTCCGATCCCATGGAGGCGATGACCTGCTTGGTGAAGTCCTGGCCGAGGCCTTGGTACTGGCCGTCTCCGTTCTGTAATGAGCCCATGGTGAAGAGACGTGAATGTGTGTTGTATGATGAGTTTCTGGTTAACTCTAGGGAGTATCGCTGATGATGTAGATAATGCTTTTCTCGGTGAGACGACGTGATCTTGAAAGATGAGCTAACTTCAACTACCCCGACTGCCAAAAGCGTCCCGCAGTTCGATGGAGGACACTTATTCCCAATCACAGCGCGTGCATTACCCGCCATTGCTTTGTAATTGCACGTGCGCTGTTACTGGGCGGGTACCACCGGCGCTGGGCTTCTACGCTCCCGGAAACCGCCCCCCGGGTCCGGGAAACACACGCAACTCTCTTTTCGGGTACGGGGGAGAGATCCGACGCGAGGGGTGTGTCTGCCGAGACTCACAAACATACTGATAGAACAAAGGACATGCCATATTTGCACTCATTATGCACCTATTCCGGTCGGCTTGCCCCGGGGACCCCGCAGTTTGATGGCTCCAGGCTTCGTTTTGGCGGAGTCACGCGCGCGGGAAGGATCATTGGCTTCGGCTTCGGGCTGTGAGATGTGACTCTGCTGTACCCCTAAATCCGTGCGGATTTACTCCAATGATACGATTGTCATCATATCTATCATTCAGTAATATCTCGTGATAGTAGACGTGAGATGAGTGTTCACAGCCGCTCACGATGTGTACGCGAAGCCCAACTTCACAGTCTTAAAGCGCTGGATCCATGGGCCAGTTCGCGTGGTTCAGCTTTGTAACGAGCGTACTACGAACAGCTTGAGAGTACGGGGCAACTTTGATGGTCACTGAAACTCATTATTCAAAAGTCTAGATGAGGTTTTATTCTATTTTGACATTGATTCACGCCTTCTTAACCCCATTTGTCTGCGCAACAATGCGGTGATCCTCCTCTGGGCCAAAATCCCAGCTCGCCTCATCTGAGCCGTTCGGCCTGCTAGCCCTCTTGAACCCAATCTCAACGCCCTCAATCTCAACCACGGGGCTCACAGCCTCAACCTCTGCCTTGTAGCGCCTCGCGTACCACTTCTCGCGAACGTTGGGTGAGCTGAACAGTTCTGGCGCATACCCCTTCATTGCCTTGAGCGCCGTGCCAGAAATCTGATCGACGCTGTGACTGTGCCGCAACGCAAGGAAATCGTCGCCCGCGAGCTTGCGCAGTTTCTCCTGGACATCCTCTGGGTATTTCCCGGCCTTAATAAGAAGGAGATCATACTGCAACAGCGATGCCTTGCCGTGCCATGAACCACCCTTCGTCGCTCTGTTATAGAGACCCGTGAGAGCGGCGATGGCGCCCATGCATCCCGTTCCATAGTCGGAAATGGGGAACGGAGGGACAACGGGCTCATCAAGCCCCATGAACTGACCCTGCGCCCACGCCACGCCACTCACCTATAACCCAGTCAGCGATTTGCAGTCTCAAAATAGAAATGTGTTGACTTACACAATCGGCAATCTGCTGCCAGCCGGGCCGCTGGCACCACTCCCCTTGGTATCCAAAGCAGTTTTCATTCACGTACACGAACCCCTTTCCGCGCTCCTTGGCCAGCTTTGTGAGGGCAGTAGCACCGTACCCCAGCTTCTCTAGGGCACCAGGGCGGTAGCCATCCAGCACAACATCCGCCTCGGCCAGCAGCGTCTCAAAGTGCTTTCTCCCCTCCTCAGTCTTGAGGTCGAGATCCGCGGCATGCTTGCCCATGTTGCCATCTACTTGGAAGAACGGGACATCGCTTAGGTTCGGGCTGGTAATCTTCAGAACGTCTGCGCCGTACTCTGCGAGGATGCGTCCTATGACGGGCCCTGCGATGATGCGGCACAGCTCGAGCACCTTGATACCCGACAGTACCCGCTTGTCAGATGTAGTCGGCAAAGGTGATGGTGGTGTTGAAGTCTCAAGATTGTCCACGCTCCACGGAGGAAGTGCGGTGTTAGTTTTGCCCTGTAAGCTGATCAGCAGTGATATCGCAAACTCAACAAGCGAGACTTACATGAGGCGTCTTGATAAAATCCTCATGCTTGAGAACAGGCACTCCAGCTTGGCGCTTATCGGCGTTCATCCGCTCAAGTTCATCGACCGAAAATTGCTTCACATGAGACTCTATCGCCTCAACAATAGCACTATGATCTTTCAAGTCTGGCCTAAATGGCTCGAGACCGATCATGCCAAGCGTTGTCGATGCTTCAAGAGATCCATGAATGTGGTAGTACTCACCCGGCTGCTTTGTCTCATACAAATTCGCCGACATGCGGCGATAAGGATCTGACTGTGCCTGAAGCAAATCCGTATCTAAGGGCACAAGTCAGAAAACTTCATGTTGCTTTCAAAATTGCAACAACATAACTCACCTTTTAGAAACTGCTTCACTTCTTTATCGAGTTTGCCATATCCTCCAACAGTTGCCAAATACGCCTGAATCAGGAACGCGGTGCTTTTCTCCAAGCTCACAGACACCTTCTTGCCGGAGGCGACGCCATCCTTGGTGGCTGCAAGGGCCCCTGCTACACCACCTTCAATAGCCTTCAGAGCTGAGGCCAACTCCGTTTCTTTGAAAGGAATCGGGAAATAGGGCAAGTCGCGGGTCGCCGAAAACTGCACAGCCTTTGAGATCTTTTCTGCCTCTGCTGGTATCTGGACGGAACTCAGGACGAGATCCAAGATTTGTTTCGTCTCAGCGACGGATGAGTATTTTGAGTCCGCCATTGTTGCTCGCTTGCTATTGTGAAAACAAGGCCGTTCGAAACGATTCTCAGTTGGCTCGCGCGTACAAGGCCTAGATTGAGTAAAGAGTAATCCAGAAAGTACAGCGTAACCAAACCGTTGAAACTACTGTTGATTGTGTGCAGCTATCAGAGTTACGATGATCGTCAATTACGAAAAAAGGATCATTATTTCTTCCGACTTTCAGCTCTGCGATTGCGCATCGTGCCCATATCCGCTCTGCATTTCCCGTAGCTCTCGATCTGACTCCCCGATCCGATTCGGCGATTCGCGAGAGGTCGGAAGCAGCTGCGTTACAGCAGTGGACAACGAAACGTCGGACCCGCATCGGGAATCGGGCGGAAGGGTACATGTGTGCTGTCCCAGTGTCCAGCAGTAGCAACTCTAGAACCACTTCCAACAGACCCGGCTCCCGATGGATTCGGAAATGGGCGCAGCTACTGCGGGTCTAGCTTAAGGGGCTGGCAAGTTAGGTGGCGCTTCCTGGGGCCGCGCTCAGGCTTGGGACAATGAAATGGAACCGTTTCCTCTCGGTCTTGGGGCGATCGTCGGATAAGGGCATCGGTGGGCTCGAGGTCATGTCGGGTAAGGGACAAGCTTTGAGTGTTTTATTGGTTAAAGATAGGTGCGTTTGACATTACAGTTTAATTGAAATGGTGTCCTCGGAAGGTGGCACTTATGCTAGTCGCTGCTGGCTTTTAGTCAGTTGTTTCCAAGCCAGTTTCGCTGTCATATTTCTATGCTGGCCCTCTCTCGGTGTTACCAGCAGTGTCTTCCTTGCAGAGCTGACGTGGTAACGCAACGGTGGAGGGTAGTAACGATGATCCAGTCCGCATTGGATATCAATTGCATCGTCTTCGATTCTTTCGAGTGAAGGCATGAGTTGAATAATGGCTCAAAATGCCGTCGGACTTGTAAGCGGTGGATATGTCGCGTGGGTTGACGGAACGGATGCGGGACACTGTTGGATGCTGAGCCAAGCGGTTGACGATCCAACCCAACAACCCGTTTCTTCAAGCAACCAACCACGGCCAATGATAGTTACTGCAGAAGTAAGACCCCGACCATTATTGGCTACGCCACCGTGGGATTGACGACTCTTGAGTTCTGACTTGTTCCCCATTTCTCTTTGAACCTCCAAGAACCTCGGCATCCTTTGAGGCGTGGGATGGTTGAACTGCGCCGCAGCGGGCAGCAAAATCTGGGGAAACATTTGTGAGCTAGGACCCCCTTGGAAAAGTGCTCCCCCGCAAAAGAAGCGAGAGAGCGCGCGCGCAAGCAAAGGGGGAAAGGGAAAGCCAAGAGCTCTGCCCCGGACCATCCTTTGCCTCAGTTGGCCGCCGCCGCCGTAGTCCTGTCTGGCCCCCCAGCCCCGAGGTTCAACGTCTCCTATCTTGCCACGCACTCGTCTCTAGTTGAATTGAGACAGCTTTGAGGTTGTCACTTTTTTCATATCGTATCTTCAATCAGATTGAACGTCGAAGGCGAGCAAACGATGCCTACGAAAAGAGTTCGTCAGAGCGAGCGGCGTAGATGCGTCAAGGCTTGCGGGAATTGCAAGCGGCGCAAGGAACGCTGCGATGGTCAACAACCCTGTCGGAGGTGCGTGATCCGCAGAGTCGAAGCCGACTGCACCTTCATCGGCCCGCCGACGAACTTTGCCGCTGCGGAGGACTCGTCATCCGTGAGAAGTCCTGATCGCCCGCAGGTTCATGTTCCTCCTGCTCCTCCTCACCGAGGCAGTCCTCCTGGTCACGGTCAGGATCTCTTCAGCTCTTATGGGGCGACTGCCTCCTTTCATGAAGCTGTCATTTCACCGAGTCATCACCATCAGCACCGGCGCGCGTCGTCGTCAATCAGCCACCTCTCGCAGAGCACTGCGGTACCAAAGGTATCGCGACTCATCGCAGATGGCAAGGGACGGTTCATGTTCATTGGCGACGCCGCCAATCTGGCCTTCTTGAAAGTGATACGCCGGCTTGTGCGCGATCGCGTCGGCCTGTGCCCCTTCACTGATGATCCCTTGCGGCATATCATGGTCGAGGCGACTCCTGAAGGCCGCCCAAAATGGATCATCACGAATCCCGCCGATATCCCCTCCAAGCCTAGCACTGAGCAGGCAAGATATCTGCTGCGGTGGTATCTCCGTGCAACAAACTGTATTCTCGATGTTTTCAATGAGTCTGAAATCCTCAAGGACCTCGAACATTGGCTGCGTGGAGAGCCCATGAGTCAAGATGAAGAGGCCATGAACTGTATCTTCTTTCTGATATTCGGCATCGGAGCACAACGGTGCCCGGATGATCGGGATGCCGATGCAGAGAAGTATTTCAACTATGGTCGATTCCTGGCAGTCTCGTATGCCATGGAGAACCCAACAAACAACACGGTGCGCAGTTACATCCTCATCACCGTCTACCTCCTCGGTGCATCGCGACGCAACTCAGCCTTCATGCACCTGGGCGTCGCTACCCGTGCCGCCTACGCGCTGGGGATTCACCGGCGAGACGTCCCGGCGCTTTTCTCAACACAAGAGCAAGACACTAGGGATCGACTGTGGAAAGCCCTCCGGGTTCTGGATCTATTCTTGGCCGCCTCATTAGGTCGGCCGTTGGCGACTTCCGAGACCCGAGATACATCAGCAAGCGAGAACTACTCTGCCTCACTGGATCTTTGCGCGATCTTCGAATCGATCTTGAACGACGTCTACGCCAAGCGCATGGTGTCTACAGAAACACTCGAGCGTATCAGCGAACAGCACCGTCGATGGGCCGCGAAGTTCAGTGATGGTCTCGCGGCTGACGGGATGAAACCCAGCAAGTATGTTGACGCCGATGACGGTGAGAGATATCCGAACATAGGGCTTTACCACATGAAAGAAGCATACTACTGGAGTATCATGCTGTTATCACGGCCTTTTCTCATCGACTTTGTCTCGAGAAACATTGCGCGCACCCGGACGACGTCCATGTGGGCCGAGGAAACGCCCTTGTCATCACCGTCCGACCAACTTCTGGTCCATGCCTGCGTGGACTCTGCAATACGGACAATCGACCTCCTCTCAACCCTCATCCCGGACAAAAACGTAGCTAAACGACATCCCTTTGTCATCAACTCTGTCTTTGTCTCCGCCCTGGTCCTCGGCCTGGCCGTCTTTGGTGACCTAGACAGCACATTCCCGTTAGACCATGGCTTGAACGACGCGCAAGCGCTACTGAAGAAGTTCAGCAAGCACGATCCTGTTGCAAGCAGAGAGCTCGCCATCGTCGAGCATCTCCAGAGCGCATGTGTCCTGTACCGAGAACGGAGGGCACGCCGGAAGATGGAGTGCCAGGGTATGCTCATCGGCGAGCTCTTTGGGAGTGTCCACGAAGGCGGCCCGTTATCGAATGAAGCTTCCAAGTTCGGCTCGAATGCTGTTCACCGAGACATCCGATACTTTGGCAACCATCGACACTTGAGCACATCAGAAGCGGGGGAGATCAACAGCCTGGACCAGAGTGTCTCACTGACGACCGGGAGCACCGATGGGCCACAAATGTTGGGTAGCGAAACTGGTCGAGGAACAAACGTGATCCAGGCACTTACTCCGTCGACCGATATACTGCTTCCAATGTCACCACGGACGCTGCTCTTCGACTCTTATGGGCAAGATATGCCTTTCTTCCCAACGATGGACGCGAGCATGGCGCACCTGGGCTACACGGATGAGATGATGCTTGCCGATGCAGGGACTTTGATGGAACCGCCGTGTTAGTCTTGAAGGGAAGATACGTGTTTTGAAGTAGACTATGTACGACTTATTAGCGACTAAATGACCAAAATACCAAGCGATGAACCAAAAAAGATGCCTACAAACAAGCAGATGGGACTTGCGTGTGATGACGTATCGTTTAGTAAGCTCGATCACCCATGCACTGTCAAGCCCAGCGAATCACACACATAGCGCTCACGAGAATTGGGACCAACGTGACTATACTTGTTTGAATTCATTAGATCTAGGTCTCCTCCAAACAAGAGCCGAGCTTCCGTTCCTGCGATATACTGCAGCCCAAGTTCGAGACCCTGCATATTACTTGCATGACGTATTTTCAAGAAAACCTAAAGAACCCCCACCCGTGGTACCTCAGAAAGTCTCGCCTGCTGATCTCCTACAGGCAGCAATGACCTCATCCGGCTTGCTCAAGAACGGAGAGTGACTCGCTTGCATCGTCTCCACGGTTACGTCTACACCAGCGGTGTCAATCATCTGCTGTTGGCCTTGATGAGGAATCGCGTTGTCGAGTTCACACTTGATGTAGGTTACTGGTATATCCTTGTACGCAGGGTACGTGAGCTTGCTGTAGAATGTCTGGTAGCTGTGGTGCTTGAGTCCTGCGATTGCCTCCTTGATGGCGGCTTCGTCCATGTCGTTGTAGAAGATCTCTTCTGGGCGTGCGGGGTCAACCTTTGTCTTGTCGTCGGACACGATGAACCAAGGAAGAGGGTTGCCTTGAAGCATGTCGAATAGTGAGACTCCTGGAGGTGTTTTATTAGTCACATGATCCTCTCAATATCTTTTGGCCAGAACCTACCTTCTGGAACCATAAAGGCCGCGCAGAATACCAGTCTTACAACGCCACCAGTCTTGCCCTCCTTCCCCCGAGCTGCCTTGCCCAGCCCACGGCAAGCTTCGCAGCCTACGATACCGCCATAGCTATGCATGAAGAGCACAACGTCTTCGCCAGCATCTACGCTCTTCTCAATCTCTTGTCGAATGGCCGCGACATCGGGCTGGAAGTCTGACAGCGGAGGCTCCGCACCATAGCACGGGAGCTGAACAGACTTGGTGGGATATCCGAGAGCCTCGAGCTTCGAAGTCACCGGCTCGAACTTGGTCGCGCAGTGCCACGCGCCGGGAACGAAGATGAAGGTAGGCTTGGTGGCAGTCATTTCGATAGCGAGAAAGTCTGGTGTACCCTTTAGCGTCGAAGAAAATGTTGGTGTAAACTGTCTTGATCGATTGACAGAAGCAGTGGGACCATTTGAATCATTTTTAAACTCTTTCCCCACGGGGAGGATCTCAACTCCGCGAGATGAGATCCAGGGACCAGAAGCAAATTACCCCAGACCAACGGCATGATGACTTCGGACCGGAGTCCGGGGTAGAGGCAGCATGACCTGGCTATTTGGTACTATTTTGGACACTAAAACGCGTTGGCAGCTGTGGCGCCTGGGATAGACGGTGTTAGTGCTCAGTGGCTTTGAGCCCCCAGCCCCCAATGAGGGGATCTAGACTGCACAACAAACGACTTTAAAGTTTCGGGGATTCACATTATTGAAGGATAGTGAAATATGCGATCTACAATTCGTTCCATTCGTTTTCCCCTCTTCAGTGCCGAGATGATACTCCGCAGTCCACCTATGCACATGTGGCACGCTTGCGCCGCCACCCGAAGCTGGCCTTCGGCATATGGTCCATTGTTCGAAGCCCCATTCCCGACGCCTGAACCCGTGATCCGATAGGCTACACCCCGTGCCTTGGGGGGAATTCGAGCTGCTGGGAACTTTCAGCCGAATGAATTTGCCCATCCGATGGGCCACCGATGCAGTGCTTCCGTTGTCGTTCGGGCACTTCGGCACTGGCGTAACGTGGGTCGCGGCCGGGGTCCGGGGGGAATGGGGTCAGCCAGAATCATCGAGAGCGTCATAGGTCCCAGCCGAGCAGCCGGTCTAGGAAGTAAGGGGCAGTTAGCCTTGGTAATTTGTCTGCTTTGTCGGCCCTTATTTCCTAGCACCAGCGATATATTCTTGCGTATTTCTCCATCGCTGTGATCTGCGTGCAAGTCTACAGACTAAACACGGAGATCTGTTCCGCAAAGCTACAAGAAGTCGTTTCACGTAGTCTGAACTGCCCACCACCTCGAATTACCACATTTAGACTCTGCCCTTCGTTATCACAAGAAATTTTCTGCCTCAATCGACATGGCACCACCAGAAGAGTTTTGCCAAACGCCAAACAAGCCCTTCAATGTGGCTGTTGTGGGTGGTGGTATTGCGGGCTTGACCTTGACCCTTCAACTCCTCCAGAACAGAATACCGACGACGCTATACGAACAGGCGCCAAAGTTCGGTGAGATCGGTGCAGGCGTGTCTTTCGGTCCCAATGCGCTAAGGGCTATGTCCTTGATCTCACCCCACGTGCGGCAAGCTTTCGAGAATCAGGCAACACACAATGAATCAGAAGACCACCAGGACGTATGGTTCGACTTCAGGTACGGCCAGACTTGTAACGACAGGAACAAAGAGGGAGACCTGATCTATCGGCAAAAATGTGAAACCGGTCAGACTGGTATTCACAGGGCACACTTCTTGGACGAGTTGGTCAAGTTACTGCCCGACGGAGTTGCCGTATTCGGCAAGAGGGCAGAAAAGTACGAGGATGACGGGAAAAGCATTCTGCTCACTTTCCAAGATGGCACGACCGCTCGCCACGATGCTGTCATCGCCTGTGACGGTATCAAGTCTAGATTGAGGAGTTTGATGCTCGGCGAGGATCACCCGGCATCCAAAGCTGTTTTCTCTGGAAAGTATGCCTACCGAGGTCTTATTCCCATGGAGGAGGCGGAGAAGCTTCTGGGCGAGGAATTGGCAAAAAACGCCCAGATGTACTTTGGCAGAAATGGCCACATCTTGACCTTTTCTGTCGCAAAGGGTAAAATCATGAACGGTGAGCCAAGTATTCTTCCACCTTCAGTCTTGTGACGATGATTAACAAGGAATTTAGTGGTGGCCTTCGCCAGTGCTAAAGAGTGGAAGTCAGACAAGTGGGTTGTCTCTGTAGAGAAGGATGACATGATCCGCGACTTCGAAGGCTGGGGCGAGAAGTCCAGACAAATTATCCAGCTTATGCAGAAGCCAGACGTATGGGCACTATTTGAGCACCCGCCCAGTCCGACGTACTTCGAGGGGCGACTCTGCCTACTGGGAGACGCCGCTCACGCATCCACGCCTCACAAGGGATCCGGCGCGGGCATGGCGATTGAAGATGCGTACATCCTCGGCAACCTGCTGGGCTCTATCTCTGATGCCAGTCAACTTGAGGCAGCTTTCTCGACGTATGACAAGACGCGAAGAGAGAGATCCCAGCAACTTGTCGTCGACAGCCACGAGACTGGTCAGCTGTACGACTTGGAGTTCAGCGAGGACTCTGAGTGGGTTGCTGACAATCTGTCAAAGCGAATGGAGTGGATTTGGAAGTACGACTTGACTGATGAGTTGGAGAGAGGGAAGAGAGAGTTGACGAAGGAAGGGTCCGCTGAGACAAGGGCGCAGCTTTGAGCATGGCGTTCAGGGGTAAGGCTTCATTAGCGAGTAGAGCGAAAATGTAGTTATCGGCTATTCCACCGTCCATATTATTTTCGATTACAATGCCTAAGTATCTTAACTAATTAGAGATTTCTGTTGAATTACAATTATCCGGTGAGCAAGTGTTTGCTACCATCTTCTCGCAGACAGCACTCTGCTGCCTACTCTTCAACCGGACGTTCTCCCGCAAGCAACGTCTCCTGGATTCTTTGAGACGGTAGCCATCTTTCTGCAGGAATGAACCACCAAGAAAGAATAGCGAAGATTGTGACGATGCCCATGATGACCGGGGCATAGTTGAGTGTCGATGCCTCAACCGGAAAAGCATAGGGCGAGAACAGCACAGCAACGACCCAGCCGTTCCACAAGACAGCAATTGCCTGGAAAGGCTTGCTCAGGCGTCCGAGACTCCAAGCGGGCTTCGGGAATTGCTTTGGTGTCAGGAAAAGGCGACAAAGGCAGATCAGACCGTAAGCTGCGGCTGAAGGAACACCCGCAGCCGAGACGAGGGAAGTAAAGGCCACTGATGACGGAAGAATCGTGCAGGTGATGACAGAGGCCACACCCCAGACGACCAAGACGGCGTTTCGGGGTTGGCCATCGACAACTTTGGCAACCCAAGGAGACCAAGGGAGAACTCCGTCTCGTGCCACGGCGAACACCAAACGCGACGCCGCCAGAATTGCAATCGCAGTGTTCTAAGCGAGGGTCAGCACGTTATTCAATAGACACAGGAATAAGGTACGAGAAAAGACAAAGATGACTTACAAACCACAGTGCGACAATGCAAACGATGTTCATGAAAATGTGGCCTCCCTCTCCGAGAATGGCTGCATACAATGGTACAAATGGCTGGGCGCCGCCAAAAGAGAAAAGGGTGTCCGCATCAGGCTGTGTCAAATTCCGTTAGCAGGGTTCGTTCCTGCGCTGCATTTGAGAAGAGCATAAACTTACGACGCAGAACAGAAATAATATCACGACAACAAAGCCGCCAATCCCGCTGACCACGGTACTCCAAAAGATGCCGCGAGCGGCAGCGACGCTTGCATTCTTGGTCTCCTCCGCAACGTGCCCCGACGCGTCGAATCCGATGAGAATACCGGCAGTAGCGAGATACGAGAGACACCAATTCCAACCGGCCGGAGCGCCGGTCCCGTTGTAGGTGGTCATGAAAGCATCATGGGCAGATCGGAAGCCGTACTCGCTCTTGCTTGTCGCGACCGGTAGCCAGACCATGTTTAGAACAAAGTCCAGCAACACGAACCCGGTCGACAAGTAGAAGATCCATTTAAAGTAGCGGGCTGTGCTTTTGTTAGCTTGTCAATGATGGCACGTAGGAGTCTAGGTGGTCTCACGAGGCAGGAGGTTCCAGATGGCAGCCAAGGCCAGCATGACCTCTGTAGTGATCCA